CCAGACCCGCCAGGCCATTGCTGTTGTCCTCAGCGCGGCTCTGCTGACCGGCATCCCTTTCTACTGGTGGCTGGATGTGTGGAGGGATGTGGACCTGCCCAGCGTGTTGGACGAGGTCCTCAAGTGGGCTCACTGCCTCATCGTCTACTTCATCCCTTGTGGCATCTTCCTGGTCACCAACTCAGCCATCATCTTCCAACTGCGAAAGAGGGGCTGGAGCGGGCTGAGGCCGAGGGTGGGCAAGAGCACGGCCCTCCTCCTGGGCGTCACCTCGCTCTTCACCCTCCTTTGGGCCCCACGGATCTTTGTCATGCTCTACCACCTGTACGTGGCCCCGGTCCACCGGGACTGGAGGGTGCACCTGGCCTTGGATGTGGCCAACATGGTGGCCATGCTCAACACAGTGGTCAACTTCGGCCTCTACTGCTTCGTCAGCAAGACTTTCCGGGCCACTGTCCAACAGGTGCTCCACGGTGTGCCCCTGCCCTGCATCTGGAGGTCACGGCTGGAAGGGACTGTGGTGGACCCTGTGCTGCTGAAGCCCTTAGGACTCCCCAGAGGGGTAGAACTGTAGAGGAGGGCCCAGCCAGGGAGTTTGTGGGGCTCAGGGCTACATGTCCTGGAGCCCTTGTGATTGTGCCCAACAAATCATGGGCCCCCTGCTTTGTAATCGAGCCAGGGAGAGGCTCCTCCTTCAGGGCTGGCTCCCAGGTAGAGAGAAGAATAGCTCTGCCAGCTCTTGGTTAGCTTCCCTGCACTTCCCATTGCCTGGGACAAGGACAGGGCTCTGCAGGCGCAGGTTGGTGGTAGCCGCTGCTGTGGGGGTTCTGTGAAAGGCATTTGGCCGGCACAGGATCGGTGCTAATGTTGGTTGAATGGATGAATGATGACGGACAGACATGAACCATCTTCAGCCCAGCCCCTTTCCTGGTGCCTGCCTCTCAGTCCCTGAATTACCATTGTCTCTGGCTTCCAGGGACAGTGCTGGGGTTTGAAAAGGAAGCTGTCTGTGAGTGTCCAGCCTTTTGTGGCCTGGACGAGCCAAGTGTATTTGGCCTAGCAGTGGGAGGGGGGTGCTAGGCAGACCCGAGTCCCCAGGGTGTGCCAGAGGGGGTGGTCCTAGGACAGACCGCCCACCCCAGGCTGCCTCAGGGATCCCAGGAAGACATAATTCCCTAGGTCTCAAACATCCCGGTCTGACCTTGCATCACCCCCTGCCTGGAGCCAGTACAGGTCTGGGGCCCAGAAGAGGCTCCAGGGCTGCAGTTGTTGTCACTGAAGAGAAAGGAAGTAGCCTCTCAGCTCAGGACCTGAGGGAGGACTTAGCTGAGGGACACCCGCCCCCCCAGCCTCCAAGCCTCCTAGGAGCCCTCTAAGTCCATCCCCCAGGAGGAAGTTCTTTCCCTTCCCGCTGGGGGTAAATGGGTG